AGAGATGCATGTCATCAGGGAATGAAAATCAAAACCGCAATGAGGTCGCACCTCACAGCTCTCAGGATGCCTGTTATCCAAAAGACAAGGACTGGCGAGGATGGGGAGAGAGGGGAGCCCTTGTGCACTGTTGGACGGCTGGCAAGCTTGCAGCCCACAGGGGGAAGACAGGCCTTGGAGGGCAATGGGAGAGGCAGCAGGAGCAGTTTGAATCAGGTCAGGGAGGGCCTGGAAGACCACACTAGGGAGTCCGGACTTTGTTGGGCCATGGGGAGCCATCGAAGGTGTTTGAGCGAAAGAGAGCCAAGATCATATTTGCTCCAGGAAGGTCAATAACAAAGAAGAGAAGCTTTCGTGTGTGGGAGCTTCCATCTTGTCCCCTCAGAAAGGGAACAAGCACTCTGAGAACTCTGATTTTATAGAAGCAAGGTTACTTCCCCATATCTGTAACTTTGTTAGTTCCTTGAAGTGATTACCCATGAAACCCGAACCAGAGACTATGGAACTGCTCCCAAGCCTGTTAGGACAAGGAGAGGAGCCCCGACAGGAACCATTTGACAGGGCAGGCCAAAGGGGCCCCAGAGAGAAGGGCAGGGGCTGAGCCCGTGGGAAGGGTCACAGGGAGACACCTGGCTTCTGTGATGTCCCTGAGTCCCTGCTAGATCCTCAGGAGAGACAGTCCCCTCCCTAGGCCGGGCCCCCTTATCAGGCCCCTGGCACTGCTGTGGCAGATTGTATTTTAAACTGTGAGAATTTGTCACAGCCCAGGGAACCCCAGAACCCTACTCCAAGGGGGAGCCTCCCCAGGGAATTCTGGAGCCACACCCCAAGTGGGCAGCCAGCACCCTGACCCCACGGCCCAGCCCGTTCTCCCTGAGTCCATGGACTGGACTTAGAGACTCCCTAAGGGAGGCAGTAGCAAGGACACCAGACTGGAAGTCAGAGCCTCCTCCCTGTGTGTGACCACAGGCCAGCACTCAGTGGCTCCAAGCCACAGCTTCCTCATCTGGAGCTGATCTTCCCTTGGCTAGTCTAGTAGGGGTATTGCGAGAATTACATGGGACGCCGATAGGAACACACTCTCTAAATGGCGAGGGTCCAGGGCAGAGTCAGAGTAGGAGGGGATGCCAGGTTTCCCAGTGGGTGCCCTCTCTGGACTTGGGGCTGGGAGCCTACCTGAGGGAGTTGAATCTCGGGAAATTTCCTGCCTCCAAAATCTCCAAAGCCTTTCTGGTCCTACCTGATGCCTTCTGTCTTTTAGCTCTTTTCTACCACTGGTTTGTGGTTTTTTTCAACAGAGGCTCCAGACTGTTTCCAGGATGCCAGAGCACCTCACTAGAATTAAATGGTCATTTTCATCGTTTTTATGTTCGATTTTCTTAGCCTCCCAGAAACTCTATGATTTTGTATTTTATTTTATATTTTATTTTATATCTTCATTGATTTCAGAGAGAGGAAGGAAGAGGGAGAGAGAGATAGAAACATCAATGATGAGAGAGTCATTGATCGGCTGCCTCCTACACATCCTTCCACCAGGGATCAAGCATGCAACCCGAGCATGTGCCCTGACCAGGAATCAATCCTCGATCTCCTAGATCATAGGCTGATGTTCAATCGCTGAGCCACACTGGCTGGGCAATTTTGTGTTTTTTTAAAGGGAACTTTTAGGCTCCAGTACCATTTTCAATGTTTATTCTCTTTACTCAGCAACTCTGTGTCCAGGTATTTATCCCATGGAAAAAAATACTTATATATATGTGCAAATATAAATATACTTCACAAACAGTGGCCATTCCAGCATAATTTATAACTCTGGGACACTAAACATGCATCGGTAGGGGGTTGGTGAAATACTTCATGGCATGCGCATGCTTTTAAATTATATGTAGCTCTCAGAATGAATGAATGAATATTCATACGTACCACTGACCTGCGAGTGTGTCCATGATGAGTTGTTATGTGAAAAACAAAAAGTTGCAAAATGGCAGTGGAAGTTTTGTTTATAATTATAATTATGTCCCTATATACATAGCTATAGATACAAAATACAAATACTAATATGGGTGTAAGGGGTGGGAGGACCTAGCAGAGCATTACTAAACAAATAGCAAGGAAAGTCAGAATTTCTGTAAGATAAATTCCTCCACAGAGTTGCTGAATAAAGGAGACAAGCATTTGAAATGTTACTGGAATTCAAAAAACACGAAGACTTTCTCTCTCTCTGTTACATATTTTGGTAATGGGTATTTTAAGTGCTGGCAAATGTTACAAAAATGTTTCATAAAAGTAATTTTTAATTATTATGATGTTGAACAACAGACTAAAATAAAAGGACTTTTAGGAATGGTGCCCTAATTCAAAGAAGGGACATCAATGGGGGGTTGTAAGGCACCTTATCAGCTGGAGGTCAGGGCCCCAGGAGCAGTAGTTTCTTTCAGGCTCTCCCTCTTTTTCCAGGAACAAGGACCCTG